AATATTTATAATAATAATAATAATTTTAATAATAATAAACGAAAAATTAGTGTTTACGAGGGTATCAGCTTGTTGACCTCGAATCTAGTGGAATCGAGATTTTCGAACATAAGGAGGATGGACATGCTGCGGATCTTGACACAAGCATCAAGGGAAAGACGAAAGAAGATGGTGGTACTATTTTGAGACCCGAATGGCAGATAAATATGGTTCGGTTCATCGGTGGCTTGGTCGACATGGAAGACAGGTTGGCTTGGTCTACTAAACCACGTTTGGAAGCGATGTCCATACTCTCAGGCCACCTGGGGTCATCTTTTCCTTCTTGATTTCATGCAACAACATGCTTGTCTTGGCCGGGATGTGTAATGAACCACGTGGACCGTCGTTTAATATCCGGAAAATCGATGAAACCACGTCGGAATTCAGCGAGATTGTGATTATGCCGCAGAGCTTGTTATATAGTTTAGTAGGCAGCGAGGAAGATGAAAAATTCGCAAGCTTGAAAAGCGTGGGAATGGGGGATTTTATATACGTATTCGATGAAGAATACCACCCTTCTTTGCCTTTGTGAGAGAATGGGAAGTGCAGTTGGAGAGTGCCTCAGCTGCCATCACTTGTTAACAAATTCCGTAAAGAATATTGTTTGGTTCTGGTACTGGCTAGGGTTTAAATCAGGGGTTTTCTCTTGTCACTGCCAATGGATAGATACCAGAAAGTGGAGAAGCCAAGGCCTTAATCGCCCATTAACGAGAATGAGATCCGAATCACTTCTCAAGGAGCTATTCGGAACTACATCAGCTATGCCATTGCTCTTCTTCAGGTTCCTTCCCTCTCTCCCTTCGCTCTCTTTTTTCAGTTACCCTCATTTTCATGTTTCCATTTTTGCTTGTGCATTTCATGCTTGTGTGTTTCTCTTATTGTTTTAAGTAGCTTTCTTCTGTGGGTTTATTTGCCTCTGCAGCTCTTTTTTTTGGCTTCTTTTTTCTCTGTACTGAGTTTTTGGTTTAGAGATTTGACGTCTGTATCTTTTTTTCCCCAGGTTTTACGGTTTTTTAGGAGTAAAACATTTTTTGTTTGATTTTGAGTAAAATGATTGCATTGGGTCTCTTTGTTTACTGGAGTTGTTTGTGTACTTCCCGTTGTATTCAATGGGTCCTTCCTTTTTATTATGCTAATAGCTGCCCTATTTTTTTTTTTTGTTGTTGCTATTTTTAGTCATAAGATTTGGGATTTTCTTCATTTTTTAAACAGTATTCTATTTGTGTTAGTGTATAGATTATTTCTACGTTCTATTTGTTCATTTCCTATTGACGAGTTGATATTAGTTGACATATACTTAACTAAATGTGGAAGAAATCAAATTTTGAGGATGAAATTTTCTTTTTAGGTGATTCTGCCACCATTCCCTTTTCCTTGAAGATGGTTTCTATTCTTTTTGCTCATTCTATTCTTATGATTGTTGACACTGAATTATTGTTTACTTCAACCTCTCCTGGGAATGGTGCATCCCTTTTTGATTTCGCTTTCTTTTTTTTTTCTTTTTTTTCTAATGTCATCTTTGTATTGAAGTGTTCTTTTGATGTTTTTTTAGGACAAGCATGCTAAGGAAATTGTCTTGAAAGCAATGGGACAGGCAATAAGTAAGACGGTAGCCATTGCGGAGATTTTGAAGGTTGGTGGTGTCCTCGTTGATCTTTCTTTCATTGTGTTTTCCCACTATTCATGACTAATGGATGTTGCATAAAACAGAAAAGGGTTCCTCGCTTGCATCAAGATACTGCGATTAGCTCGTGTGCATAACTGATGTGTGGGAACCTATTGAAGAGGGCCTTGTTCTGCAAGTCTCCGACTTATTTAAGTATTTAGTATCGTGTTTTGTGCAGTGTAGAGATGACTCGCTAGGTCTCAATGGTATCTGTCACCTTGTCAACCAAAGAGCTAAACAAAAACTCTTCCGGGTAAGCTAATCTATCTTGTATTTTATTCGGGTTTCTTTTTTCAACAATGGACAATTAAATTTATGAGATGCTGGTTGATAGCCAATTATTACTTTTTCAGGGAAGTGTAAATATGGAAGCTTCGGTTTTTATTATTATGCTTAGTTGGGGTTTGATACATATGCTAGATGCCAGTTCTTAAATGTTTTAACCGTCACTGGTACATAAATTATCGTTATGTTGCTCATTTGATTGAAATAACTCTTTGCTGGTATGACTTGGAATGTATCACTCTAGATATCAAGCTCCACATTATGCTGAACAACCGAAGCCACAATATCATTATCAGCAGCAGCAACCACCCAAACAAGCTCGCGTCCCATATAATGCTGTTAATGAAGGTGCTTTCAGGAACTAGAAATCTGCAACCGTTTCCAAACTTTGTTCCTTTTGATCTCATCTTATTTATATAGATTCATATGGGCGAGGTAGGGGTAGGGGTAGAGGCAGAGGGAGAGGGCGGAGTTGAGGCAGGGGTGGATACTCAAACTATGGAAATTATCAAGGTATAGTATATGGATCGAATATGTATTATGGTAATTATTGACAATTTTCTTTGATCTTTTACATTTATGAAGTATAAATTTGCATTTTAGTTGGACCATACTTCATAATTGACTTATGTCCTACAGATAATGGTGGATACTCGAACTGGGGCAGAGGTGTTGGGCAAGGAAGAAGTTGGGGTTATCGTGGTAAGTGTACTTATTCACAACTTGTTGAAGGAGTGATATTTGATCACTTTGGGAAGTTTATGTTTTTGTATCCTAGTTGAAATCTCACTTCATACATGCTAAACAAGAATCGGTTCATCAATGGATGTCCTTTGTCTTAAAATTGCGGACTTCTGTCTCAAGTTTCCTCGCTCCTCCTCAGCACTTATCAGCCAACACCTAAGCCTGCTGACTTGTCAATATTTGTTTGGCTTGTTTTGATTCCGACAGGTGGTGGTTATGAAAGAGGTAGAGGTGGTGGTGGTGGTAAAGGCAATAGCCGTGGACGTGGAAAGACGGGTGGTGGTCGCTCAAGGGGCGGTGGCTACTAAAGCATAATCAAGGACGCACAGAGCTTAGCTTAGATGCTTTGCCTAGGCCAGTGGGAAATTATGGAAGTAGGAGTGTTTGTAATAGCGTGAGATTGTGGGTTAAAATCTGCAGCAGCATTATTTAGCAGTGGTATTGTGTTTGTGTCTGCATGAGGGAAGTGTTTTTTTATTTCGCATTTAGCCAAAGCCAAGAGGATGATGGGTTTATGATTTGTTCTGTAATGGAACACCCCTATCTTGTTTATATATATATAAGTTCTTTATTCCTTTGAACTCTCTTATCTCCTTGCCTAAGTCATAGCTGTTACCTGTAACAAAGGTTGCCGTGGAAGTTATGGTTAAAATGTATTGAGCTTTAGCCTTGAAGGCAATAAAACCTCTTGATACTATAATTAATTACAATCTCAAACTAAATTTGAATATTCAATTTTTTTATAAATCTTGGGTGAATAGAAGAAAATATCTTTCAAAGACTTTCAAGCCTTAACGATGAATACGCATACCTCTACATATCCGATGTTCGAATCTACGACTTCAAAAAATAATGTCCCTTAACTACTATAGTCACTTATTTATCTTAGAGTTACAAAAATCTATAGCAGAAAATTCACGTTTTTTTTGCTCCCATAATTTTTTAATCAATATATTGTAAATTATAACAAAAACGTTTAATATAAAAATAAATTATCAAATTATACCTCAAAAAACAATTTAGTGTCTTAAGAATTTTTTCGTTAAAAATGTGTTTAATGTTTTCTCTGTTACATTTTTAGGTCTTACTGTTATATTTTCTATTTTTTATAAATAAAATTATTATTTTTAAAATAAAAAAATTAAAAAAAATCTTATTGTTTTGTGATAATCAACGGATGATTGTTAGTCGAGGTTGGGGTCCCGATGCATCAGCAAAGCTGTTGATGGTGATGTCGTGCGCCATCACCTGCACTAGGGAAGGAGAGGAGATTTTTTTAAAAAAACTTTAAAATAACATATCTTTTTAATAAATATATTTATTTTTTAAATAAATTCTCTAAATTATCAAAACATGACATGTATTATTTAATAACGATTTTTAAAGACGGTTAATGTTGGAACACATAAAAATATATTAGAAAAATATTAGATGCATACATTTTACGAAAATTCTTTAGACAGTTTTAAGAGCACAGCGAATCAAAAATGATAAAGTTAGTTAGTTGGCATATCATCCCAAAAGTTTTCTTTGTTTTTGAGATTGCTCATAAAAGTTGGAAATGCTCGCAGTTTAATATACAGTTAAAAAAACGTTATCGATTTTGTTATTATTTAAATAATTAAACTGGTAAAAATGACCATAAATATTATTATTTCTACCGGTTTTATTATTATTGGCGTTTTACCGGATTTGATAAAGCGATACCGGTTTTTTTACTGATTTTATTATTGTTTGACACTTTTATCGGAAATGTTAAAAAAAATTGATGTTTTAGATAAAAAAATAATAATAGTGTTTTAGGTAATAAAAACAACAGAATTGGCATAAAATAATATTTTTGCAAGAGGTTCATAGGTGTTGTAGATATTATTTGTCCTTGATCAACACAAACAAAAATGTCAACAGTAATGAACAAAGTCACAAAATATGGCCTCATCCACACTCCAGCTTCGTTTTTTGGCTTAGGAAAACCATGAACAATGATTGAAAATCATTAAATGTGAAACTAAAGGCATGATCAGCTATCAGAGCATGAATAACGTCGAGCATTGAAACTAATTAGTTACCATTTCCTCCTTGTTTTGTCACTTCGTACGATGGCCTAATCAATCAGTCAGCCTCTCAAGATGTGTTGACACACTCGTTCTAATTCAATTGATGATCTAAATGAATCGACCATTGATCCATGAACCAGTAGTGTCTCATCTATTTATTTAACGGTCTAAACAGAGGTTAATCTCATTGGAGTTCATAATTGAAAATTTGAGTTGAATGTGGCAGCTGGTAGAAAAGAATCCAGAAGCAGCAATAGTATTATTTTGGAAGGCCATCAATGCCGGTGACAGAGTCGACAGTGCACTAAAAGACATGGCCGTCGTGATGAAGCAACTCAACAGAAGCGAAGAAGCCATTGAGGCTATCAAGTCTTTCAGGTCACGTTGCTCTAAACAAGCACAGGAGTCACTTGACAATGTTCTCATTGACTTGTACAAGGTGTAATATACATTTAATTCCATGAATTTTCGATGCATGTTTTGCCCTGCAACTACATTTGAACTGGTCTATCATAATTGAAATTACAGAAATGTGGAAAAGTAGACGAGCAGATCGAGTTAATAAAACGAAAGCTAAGATTAATATGCCAGGGAGAGATCTTCAGTGGAAAACCGACCAAGACTGCTCGTTCCCATGGGAAGAAGTTTCAAGTCTCTGTTAAGCAAGAAACCTCAAGATTAATGGTATCATTTTCATTTTTGCTTGACAATTAGGTTATTGGTAATTGTTAGAATTGTGTTTTGGTGACTAATGACTCCATATTTGCACGACAGGGAAATTTGGGCATGCAGAAACCGAACTACTTGACAGCGGAGGTGGTTTACAGAAAAGCTCAGATGATCGATCCAGACGCCAACAAGGCCTGCAATTTGGGTCTTTGCCTCGTCAAGCAAGGCAGGTTTGATGATGCAGAATCAGTCCTCGGAGATGTATTGCAAGGTAAAATTCCGGGTTCGGAAGACGTTAAAGCCAGGAATAGAGCTCGGGAATTGTTAATGGAACTTAAAGCCTTTCAGCCACCTTTGGAATTATCTGATATTATGGGACTTGATGATCATGATTTCTTCAATGGGATTGAGCTGTTGATGAACGAATGGGCCCCGGTTAGATCAAAGAGGCTGCCCATTTTTGAAGAGATCTCCTCATTTAGAGATCAATTGGCTTGTTAAAAAAATTAATATTTGAATTTTTAAAAAAAAAGGTGATTTGGGTTTTTGTTGTATACAATTGTAGTGTTAGTCTAAGTACGCTGTAAATAGTGTGGAAGTTGTTACATTTTTGTATCAACATAATTGTGCTATAATAATCCAGTAATCTAGTTATCCGATCAAATTGATTCGTAATTGTCTTATCGATTTACTAGAGATTTTAGGTCAACAGATAGAATCATTAGTTAAAATTCAACAAAACAAGTGTTTTTGTCAAGTTCATGATAGTTGTTTCCAGAACCTAATTGCGTGCCTTCCAATTAAGCTCTACATATGGGAAGTTCTAAAGCACAAAAATCAAAAGAAAAACATGTCTATAGCACAAATGTAACACGCGGCAAACCATTTAGCCATTAAGATTGTAAAACCACTCGATGCCCTTAATAAGATCATCTGAAAGTACCTTACTTGATATCTATATATTTATAGTTTTCAAAATTCAATTTCTCTGCTTCGAATTTCCACGCATCAATATACTGGGTGCTACGCCTACACAAATATGCAGAGTCTCCCTATGTAGGCTACAGCAGAAAAAGGACATGCAATTAAAGGAACTATAACTATAACTAGAGTATCAAGATTACTTGTGACAGCTACCAATCCGGTCCATGAATCATCAAGCAATTCACTAACATTTGAAGCCATGACAAACAGACAGCACGATGATAAGAATCAAGGCGATCAGAATTCCCAGAACTATCAGCTTTATTTTCATGTTCTGCAACCACATCTTTCTCCTCATCTGGGTTCCCTGCTGCCTGAAATCTTGAGCCTATGAAACATCCAAACAAGTACCCACTTTATATGATATGTAAACTAGGAAGAAATCCAAAATACACTACCTGTAATTTTGAACCAACAGTAGGAAAAGTATGTTCAAGGTTTTCAAGTTGAACGTAGTCCCTTTAAATTTCGAGAACTGTAAATGTTTTTTTTAAAAAAAGAAATGTACAATTGGACGATTAAGCAATTATTCTGAAATATGTTTCAGAACTTTATTTTCATGCAAATAATGCTTTATTTATGGTCTAGCCACAGCAGCTTTAGAAAACATTGGAGTTAACATATGATACCAACTATGCTAAACAAAATTGTAAGATATATGCAGGTCCTGTCCGAGGTTAGCATTATTTTACCAACCAGTTCCCCAACAAACCTAAATAATGCCTGTTTATGATCTACCTGTAGTGCAATATTGAAGAACATTGACCATAATTTAAAAGTAGAATAATATGATAAACACTGGCGGACCTGAGAGCGAAGGTTTTCAGTTTTATCCACCAAAACCTCAATTTTCTCACCACGGTCCAGAACCTGCAAAATTAATTTATTAATGAGAAACACATAAAAGGATGCCAACACTGTATACTCATGATCTAGAATTTTTTTTTTTTTTGATAGGAATAGAAGGTCTCATTAAAAACCTCCTTAGTAGTCCTTTACCATAATGCAAGAACCGGCTAGCGGAAGGAGGAAAAGAATACCTCAATATATTGATTATAAATGCATTACATGATCTAGAAATCTGAAAAGCTGGACTCCTTCCCACTTAAAACCCTCACATTTGCACTCCATGCTATATGCACATATGGGGGGGAAAAAAAGATAACAAGGATTACTTTCTCAATGTTTTCCATCATAACTCCTTTGACTTCTGAAACTTGAGCTTTCACTTTGGCAATCTTACTAATCTCCTCTGGATGATCAATGCAGTACTGCATATGCTCCTTCAGTTTTGGCCTATATCAACAATACTAAAAACATGGCATCAATGTTCTTAACAGAAACAAAGACATTCTATTTAATGGTCAAAGAAAAGAAAATACCCAAACTCCTTGCTCAGGCTGTTTGCAGGAGCAGTCGCAGCTTTTCCTCCACCATATCTCTTGGTAAAATCCTCCTTAATTCTCTCAAGAAAGGCAATTGGCACTTGCCGTCCAACCGATTCAACAGCAACCACACAATAAGCTGCAAAGTGTAATGATGTTAATCCAAGAAAAAACAGATGCAGCAGCACAAAATGTGAAGAAACAGTAAATATCATGCAAGCACGAAATGCTCTTTTGAAATGATCATTCTGAGATTTCACTCTTTCAAAATATAAGCAAATATGTCTATTCTTCTACAGTTATAAGGCATGCAGACCAAAGACATTAATCATTTGTCATAGTACTAAATTACATAATATGAACGATGTCAACAAATTAAAATATTGAAAATGCCAAACATTTGAATCATTACTTTGTTCCGACCACTAAATTTTCCAATTTACTACTACAGACTTTTTCCCCTAAAAATATACACAAAAGAGAAAATGAACAAATTTAAAATTGAATTTCACTAACACTGAACAAATTATTAAAATATAACACACATTCATACATAATTGTTTATATATTTTACAATTATGCGTTCAGGTTATTTACAAGAGTTTTTAGCTCTAAATTTTCAATTATTCAAAAAGCATTAGTATTTGCTTTGGTATCTAAATGCAATTAATGTTATTTGCTTCATTTTTTAGGTGTTTTTATGCGACGCATTACCCAAAAATAACTAGAAAAATATCAAGATATATGTGTAAAAACAGAGGCTAAGAGCGCCTCTGTAACATGATCGATAAGCATATTTAATTCCTTTGAAAATTTTAAATCTTTTAGTTGTTACTACTACTCAGTTTTGGAAAGTTTCAATTACAAGGTAAACAATGTATTGAAGCAATGAAGAAACAAAAGCGTACTTCATTTATAGCACACCGCACATCTTAACCAACTCTTTACTTAAAATAGATATAATGTAACTGATTCTTTCGTTTTTCCCTTTCACGCGCATTAGGTTATGCTGAACATAATTATTTCTAATAACCCCTAATATTTACATAATTCAATCTATAAGCAAATCCACGAAATCAAAAGCAAGGAAAATAAGAAATGATAGTAAAAAACCAGAAACAGCTAAGGACAATGGTTCGAGAGCGGAAAGAACTTCGTCGGATAAAAAAAGACAGCAAAAATACGGATCGGAAATAGATAAATGAACGAAATGAGAAAAAAAAGGGAGAAGAAACATATGAAAAGGACGGAGAAAGAGAACAAAGATTACTGAAGCCGTTATCGACGAGATAGTTAAAGGTGTGGCCATCGCAGTTGTAAGTGAACTTGTTGTTGGAAGCCGGGAGCTTCTGGAGACACTGAGAAGCTATGGAGGTGAAGTTGCCGGAGAACTCGGTGTAGTCTGCCAAAACCACCGTGCCTCGCGCCACGAAGGCATAGATCAACGATTGTTGCCCCATCACAGTGAAATCCTCTCCGTCCCCTACTAAGAGAGATGAAACGCAACGGGAACTGGAGAGGGATTTATCGTCGGAAGGAAATTTTCCTTTTCCCTTTTCGCCTTATATGAAAAACAAGGTAGCGTGACTTTTTTATACGGTAAACTGAGTAGTTAGTCACCCAACTACTCTAGTAGTTTTGTTTTGGTCACTCAACTACTTTTTTTTTAAGTAGCATACCTAATGTTTAATCATTTCTTATTAAAAAATTAATGATGATATTGACTTGTTACAGTAAGACAATGTCATTATATCATTGAAAATATAAAAAAAAATTATCACGTAAATGGTTTTGTTTATTTTTTTAATAGTTGTGACCAAAATAGAAAAATGTAACTGGGCATAAATTTTAAAAAATAATAGTTGAGTGATTAAAATAAACCATGAGAATAGATGGATGACTAAATACTAAATTTATCCTTTTTATGTTTGTTTTATGTTTAGGGTAAACTAACCTACTAAGTCATCCAACTATTATTGTATTTCTATTTAGATCATTAAACTAATATATTTTTTTGATTTGGTCATTAATGTTATCATGCTGATTTATTATCATGATGATCAATATGACACTTATTTGCTATAATGTTAGTCTTTCCTTCTTTGGATCATTAGAAATAATGTTTGTGGATAGATTTCTTATGTCACTCGACTCTGATTTATGATTTGTAGGTAGTCTTTTAATACCTAGATCACCTTTTTGGTTCATTTTCAATGCAATCATATTTGTTTATACCTCTCTTTTATTTAAGTTTTTATCATTTTCCTTGTATGTTTAGCTTATCATTATAGTTATAAACTTTTATTATACTTATGTGTATTTTATTCTTTTAATAAAATTAACTACTTTCATATAAATGCTTATAATATAAAATAACAAAGATATCACTAAAATTGAAAATAAAATAACACTAAAAATAGTTCACAAATAAACAATTGTGCACACTTTAAGCTCTCTCCCAAATCCCATATAAATTTCACAAATAAATCTTGCTATATGATTATTCAATGAAAATATTCTAAGCCTATATATAAGGTCATTTTCTTTCAAAACGCTAAACAGTCCATTCACAATTATCTTTCATTATATCAGAGAATAATCCTAAAGAATCTTTTCATATATAGTGTGATATTATATCACAGAAAATAAATATATTAGAGAAAATAACTTCAGTGACAAAAAATGCCTTATAATATACGAATTTAACCAACTTTTTTTGGATTTGTCAAAATGACCAACAAATTCGCAACGCGAATTCCAATTTCTCAACCCAGTTTCCAATTTCGCAACGCGAATATGTAAATCGCATTGCGATTTTCCAAATTCGCAACGCGATAGTCAAATTCGCAACGCGGAAGTCAAATTCGCAACGCGAAAGTCAAATTCGCAACTGAATTTCAAATTCGCAACGCGAATTTAATTTCGCAACAGGTTTTAGTTTCGCAACACAAATGTTTTGTGTATATAACAACGCAGCAGCAGCAACTCAAAACCTAAATCCCTAAATCGCAACTCATTTCATCTCCATCTATCACTCTCTCCGGCGACATCCGTTCTTATATCCAACGACATCCTTCCCCATCTCTATTTTTTTTTACATAATTTTTCAATGATTTCTCTCCCAAATTATCAACTATCAACTTAATAAAGGTATGTTTTTCTCTAAGTTAGTGATGATATCTAGTTTATAGCTCGTTTGTTTAGTAAATTAATTTACAATTTTTAGAATGAAATCATCTAATGTTGATCATGTTTGGATAGATTTGTGTTCTGGAGGGTCATGGGAGAATGTTCATGGTGTTTTACAATATGTGCCTTTACCCATGAATCTTCAACTAAAACTGTCATTAAAAAAGTTAACTTATGAAACTCTAATGTTACGTGTTGCAAAGAAATTGAATTTAGAGTCTCTAAGTGGATTTAGGCTATCTTATCTGAGAAAAGGTAAAGTTTATTTGTTAACCAACAATGAAGATGTTGAACGATTCATTGCTTACATTAGTGTTTCGCAAGAAGATGATGTTACATTGTATGTTGTTTAACCTAGAAGTAGTGAAGTTGGGTCAGTAGCGGGTAGTAATCAACTAAGTTCTTCAACCCAAAATTTAATGGTTCCACCAAAATTTCATCACCAAGCAAATTTTGTTTCACCATATTTCCAATACTAAACACAATATCAAACACAATCTCAAAACCCACAACCTTTTCCTAATCCAAATCCCAATCAACTTTCAACACCAAATTCCGATTTTCGTATTGACCAGTTAGACGATTATGAGCCAACAGAAAAAATTGTGAGTACTAGTCAGTATTCAAAATTTGATCTTGGTCAATACCCGAACTTTGATCTTGGTCAATACTCGGATTTTGATGATGTGATGGAAGAAGAAACAGACCCTGCATGTAATGATTTTGATATTGGTCAATACCCGAATTTTGATGATGAAACAGCCGCTGCAGAGGAAGATATTGTTGATGATAATGAGGAGGAAGTTACGACTGTGAATGAACATGTTGAACATTCATTCTGTAATTCATATAACCTTGAAGAAGAAAAAAAAAAAGAAGTCCCCGAAGAAAAGAAAAAGAAGAAAATACCACGGGAGTATAACTGGAATATGCCAGAATTACTTCAGATACCGGAAGAAGAGTTGGTAAAGATATCAGTTGATTGTTACACAAAAGTTATTCCTATCAAGAAAGATGATTGTTTTGATACAAAGGAAGACTTGAAGATAGCTTTGTATACGAAATGTGTGGAAGATGGCTATCAACTAAGAGTTAACAAATCAAGCAAAGATCATTTCGAAACAAGGTGTATGATTGACAAAAACTGTACGTGGCGTATGATTGCAAAGAGGATAAAAGATTGCGAAATGTTTCAAGTTAGGACTTTTATTGATAAACATACATGTTCAAGAACCCAAGTTTTTCCTCACCATAGACAGGCAAACAAAAAGGTGTTGGGTGATTTTCTGGCTGAGTTTATGTTTTTGAATTGAAGGGTATATCGGGGACATGAAATTATGACTGACATGAATGCTCGGTTCAAGATTAGTATCTCATATTCTCAAGCTTGGAGAGCCAAATATTATGCCTTGGAATTGTTGAGGGGGTCGCCAGAAGCATCGTTTGCCCAACTGCCGGCTTATTGTCACAATTTAAAGCTGAAAAATCCTGGGTCGGTAACTTATATCAAAACAGATAGAGATGGACGCTTTGAGTTGTTGTTTATCGCCATTGGTGCTGCGGTTAGTAAATAATTATAATTTTGTTGACTTATTTTTGTTAGTTGCATGCATTTCACATTTAAATGATTATATTTCTTGTGTATATGATTTTGTAGATTCGTTCGTTTATTACTTGCATGCGTCCAGTTATTATAGTTGATGGAGCACATTTGAAAGGTCGATACCTTGGAGTAAACTTATTAGCAGTAGCCATGGATGCTAACAATGGGATACTGCTAATAGCTTAAGGGGTTAGCAAATCTGAAACCTCTGATTCATGGACATGGTTTATGGGGCATCTTAGGGATTGCATAGGTCCTATTAGCAATCTGACAATCATATCCGATAGGGCAAACTCAATTGACAACGTTGTTAGAAGGTGTTTCCCAGATGCTTTTCATGGACTTTGTGGTGTTCATTTGTACAGAAATCTAAAATCAAGGTCTGCTGGTATAAAAAATCACAAATGGACATACTGGAAGGCTGTAAAAGCTTATCGGGAAGAATATTTTAATAAGCATATAAATTGTTTAAGACTTGTTTTCCCTCAATGTACTCAAACACTAGAAGATGTCGGGTTTGAAAGATGGTCAAGAGTACATCAACTTGGAGCAAGATATGGTTTCATGACGTCTAATAGTGTAGAATCAATCAACGCTCTAATTCGTCATTCCCGGAAATTACCCATTACTATGTTAATGGAGTTTTTTCGAGCCTCTATTCAACAGTAGTACTAAAAGAAAAGAAACCATGCATGTATTATTTCTTTAAATTCGTAACTTATCATATATTTTACTAAGTATTATTTATTTAAATTTACAGGAACATTGGAACGTCGTGTTACACCATGGACTGAAAAAAAGATAACGAAACGTGTTGTGAAGTTAACGTCCTGGAGAGTTACACCATGTTCAAACACTTTGTTTGAAGTATTGGATAATAACTTAAATGGGCTTGTCGATCTAAATGCAAAGACGTGTAGTTGTAAGAAATGGCAAACATCTGGTTATCCGTGTGGCCATGTTATAAAAGTTATTTGTCATCTAAACCAAGATGATTCAAGCGCATACGCTATGGATTGCTATACTACAGAAGTATATCGACAGACTTATACCGAGATTGTCTACCCATGTCCACATCCTTCTGAGTGGGACATACCAGATGACTTACAAACAGTTTTGCCACCAGTCATGGATAACAGGCTACCTGGTCGACCAAAAAATCACGATCGTATACCGTCTAAGGCTGAAGAGAAGAAGATATCGACATGTAGTCGGTGCAAGGAAAGTGGTAATACAAGGTTGACCTGTGGATCACCAGTGCCATCACAATCATCTTTTCATCTACCAAAAAATGGATCCTCATCAAAATCCAAAGCTCATATGGTGCCAAGCAAAAGGAAATCAAAATCGCAATCAAAATCAAAATCCCAATCACAACCGGCTTCACCTTTTGGGACTTATTAACTTAGGTGATTTTTAAATGCAAACATTGTATTATGTGTATTTTATGTGTGAATGCATACATTTTCAGTTAGACATTCATTAGTAACTTGAGTTTGAACATTGCTATGATCTGTTCAGTTGTTATCATGTTGGGATTTTCTCTTGTGTTTGATTGCTTGGATAGTTGTTCTCTTGCTTCTTCAAGTGTCCTTAGCTTGTATTTATAGCTTGGAATGTGTTTGATGTTGTATATACCTTGATGTTGTATGTTGCGATCAACGCGAAAGTCAAATTCGCAACGCGAAATAAGCGTTGCGATAGTTAAATCCGCAACGCGAAAGAGAAATTCGTAATGCGATAGTCAAATTCGCAACGCGAAATCGCAAACCGAATTTGACTTTCGCGTT